AACTGGGGTCAGCCATAGGTTATACAAATGTGGGTTTTACAAAATCTGCGTCGATAGTTTTAGGCTGATCGGCTTCCGGATATAATATGGTGCTTCTGTTTAACATCATGTTAGCATCGTATGATAGGAACTCTGTACACAGAACTGCCAAGATAGCAAAAGAGCAAAACTGCCTATAGCCCCATGAAGCACTGAAAGCCTTGTTAAACAGAAAAGTCCGTCACGTGGGCTCTGATATGATTGTCTAGGGACACGGGAAGGCAGAGGATGGCAGGAGCTTCTCCCACCGGGGAGCAGAGCCGTCTCTGATGGGGCAGGGCTGATCAGAAGGGGAAGAAGTGGCTTCCCTGGGCTCCCAAGGAGCAAGAAGCCGGTCCCCGGGGCCCGTTGCCACCACCTCCCGGGGCCCTTGCCTTTGGTGTTCCCAGAGCCTCTGGCAACTCCTCCCTTTACAGCGGGGTGGTGAACACACTGGACAGAAGCGAGGGAAGCTCTCCCAGGCCTTGCCTGATATCCGCAGTCTCCATGCTTCCCTGAGCCTGGGTCTGTCTTTGGTGGATGCAAAGCGGTGTGCAAAGGCTCCATGGCTGCACATCATCTGGGGAAAACCCAACAGCAAATCCAGCTTTCTGCTCAGGTTCCAACTGGCCACCTTTGCAAAGGTGAATTGTCTTTAAGGCGAGTTGAATCTCAGGAGACACTGTCACCACGAGCCCACTTTGGCATGTCATGGGGCTATCATCCTGCGTGGCAGGAAAGCACCTTTGATTCCAAGGCCCGAGTCTCCCATTCTGTCTGTGGTGACAGCCAGGTGGACACGGCTTCAGGCAGAGGTAGTGGGTTTGGAAGAAAACTCTGGTCCCAGGGGAGAATCGGGCCTGTGTTTCACTGCCACATCCCTCCGGGCTCCCCTCTTGCGCAGACGGCAATGAGGGCTGGCCTGAAGAGGAGCCGTGGGTGCTGCTGGGTGCAGTGTGGGTGGGATGAGGGAGTAGGACAGTCCCAAGAGGAGTCTGAGGGCCAACCCTGGGGATCTTCTTGCTCTCCTCCCACTGCCTAGGTTGAGGGGAGGCCCGGAGCAGCCAGGGGAGGGCTGAGGACAGGCCTGGCTCAGGGAGCTGACTTTGGCCTCAAGTCCATCATGGCCCTCGGGACCCCGGCCGAGTTACCCTGGCACCTTCTCTGACCTGTCTCCTCAGCTGAAGAGGTGGGCTACACCAGATAAATGTTCTCTAGTTCCAGCATTCTAGGAACCTGCGAGCCCCCTGTGTTTCAGAACAGACAGACCCTTGGGGAGAAGCGGCTGGGCAAGAGTGCGGTCAGCTTGGGGACAGTCCCCTGTGCCTGGGCCGAGTGCGATGCTGGAGGTTTTCTCCAGTCCTTCTGCCTGGAGGTCATGCAGGACTGTTGCTGCTGCTTCTGTTTCGCTGTGGTGAAGTTGGAGGCCCTGGAATCTGTGGGTCTGGCCATTTGGGGACAGCCCCCGTCCCTAAACGATTTTTGTGTCCGGATAAGGACTATGGTGGGTCGTAACTCAATTTGCTGGTGTTAGTCTGGGGAGATTCCTATTGCAGACCTCTCTTCCCTACTCCTCCCCCACACACCTAGGTTCCTTTCTTCTCTCCTACTCCAAGTCTACTCAGACTCCCAGGGCAGCTCACACAGAACATTCCAGAAAGGTCACAGAACTGATCAACTTCCCTGGGAATTGTGGACTGGCTATCAGGGGCCTACACACTCCAGCTAGTTTCTTGGCATTGTGTAAATCTCTGGGATATTTGAAATTCCCATTAAGCAGGGGGTTCAGCAGACCACAACACTGCAGTTAATAAACAAAAGAGGGCCGGGCATGGTGGCTCACGCCTGTAATCCCAGCACTTTGGGAGGCCAAGTGGCGGATCACCTGAGGTCAGCAGTTCGAGACCAGCCTGGCCAACATGGCAAAATCTCTTTTCTACTTAAAATACAAAAATTAGCTGGGTGTAGTGGTGTGTGCTTGTAATCCCAGCTACTTGGAAGGCTGAGGCAGGAGAATTGCTTGAACCTGGGAGGCAGAGGTTGTAGTAAGCCGAGATGGCGCCACTGCACTCCAACCTGGGCAACAGAGTCAAACTGTGTCTCAAAATAAAAATAAAAAAAAATAAAATAAAAAAGAGGCCAAAGCCATTGTTTCTGGCCAATGTAGATCCTTCGTGCTTCTCTCATTTGAAGATGTCCGTCCGCTCTCTGTTAGCCCCCAGGCCCTCCTCTATTACGGAGCTAAAGACTCCAGGACAGGAGTTTCCTCACCTTTGCTCGTCGTTTTGCCCTTCATCTTCTCCTTCCTCTAGGTCCAGGGGACTGAACGAAGCATGCTTCTGGTTCCTGTGGTACCCCGCTTCGTGGCTCGTGAGTGCACCCCATTCTGGGCCTGGATCTCATGGTCTCTGTCCCTGGCTCTCCCCTTCCCCTCTGCCAAGTGTCCTTGTTGAGCCTGTGCCCCACCTCCACTTTCTCACCGGTCCTTAAATTTCCTCTGGAAGCCACCACCACTCGGCCCTTGCCCTTGCCCTTCCCAACAGTAGCGTCCCCAACCCTTGACTCTCCCACGTCCCCACCTGAGCTGCCCTCTCCTGATCCTCCTGCCGCCTCTCTGCCTCTTCCTCCTCTCCAGATGCTGAATTCCTCAGGGTTCCATCCTCAGCCCTCCTCTCTCCTAATTCCCTGATTCACTCCATTATCCCAAGAGCAGGACTTGTGATTTGGCTCTCTAGTCCCCGCCTCTGTTCAGACTGATTTCCAACATCCAGTGCCCACTTCCCCCATCCCTTCTACCTGAATCCCAGGTCTATTCGTGGCATTGTTCAAATGTAGCTAGTGGGGTTGTCTCTGTATCAGACAGGGCTATATGGGCAGGTTATAAATTCACATGCTTCTGGCAATTTTTATCACGTGTAAGATTTCAGTCTTAGAGCTGGAATTTTAGTTTGAGCTGGAAAGCCCATTTTGGCATTCTTGGTCCACCCCTTTACAAAAACACTATTGGCTATTGGTTAGGGGAACTTGGAAGTGAAGAGACTACTCCTGATTCTCACAAATTAAATACCAGGTAAGCGCTCAGGTTAAGATAAAATTCTTTTATTTTTATTTTTTTGAGACGGAGTCTCGCTCTGTCGCCCAGGCTGGAGTGCAGTGGCGGGATCTCAGCTCACTGCAAGCTCCGGCTGCCGGGTTTTTACGCCATTCTCCTGCCTCAGCCTCCTGAGTAGCTGGGACTACAGGCGCCCGCCACCTCGCCTGGCTAATTTTTTGTACTTTTTAGTAGAGACGGGGTTTCACCGTGTTAGCCAGGATGGTCTCGATCTCCTGACCTCGTGATCTGCCCGTCTCGGCCTCCCAAAGTGCTGGGATCACAGGCTTGAGCCACCGCGCCCGGCCTGATAAAATTCTTAAGTCTATGGTTTAGACACTTCCATTTCAAATTAAGAACAACTGTAGGAACATAAACTCAGGGACTCACAGAATATTCTAAATGACACTGGAGTGTGTTCACAATTTTGTACTCAATTTCCCTAACATCTCCACCTTTCTAACCCAAACTCACTCTAGCTTTATGATTTGGAACTTTACAGGCAGGCTTTCCTTAATGTCAGGAGCAAGGGGTCACTATGGACAATCTTCCCTCCTTTTCTCATTTCACAATCTATAAATCTGCTCACCCGAAAATTAAGCCCAATCTGTTACCGTGTGCACAAAATCAAAAGGCTAAACCTTTTCTAGACCTTAGGAAGCTGAGTCAAGCGGCTCACTGGCGCCCTCCTCTGGTTGGCATGGCTCCACAGGTCTTCCTCGCCGGTGCCATCAGTCTGGAGTCCCAGTGTTTTGACAAGAGGTGGGGGAGCTCTCAGGTATTCAGACTTCTGCCGGGAATGCCTGTGTCAATGCTTTTGTGTCAATATTTGCAGGAAGCAAGAGTGCGTGAGCTACGCGAACCCCAGTAAGACAGAAAACATGGCCAAGCGTGAAAAGGTAGACGTGTGTGTGTGTGTGTGTGTGTGTGTGTGTGACTGTCCAGAAGGTGGTGATGGAGGGAGAGTGGCCTGGCAGTTGCATGACAAGGATGGAGAATCATGGGCCACCACTGCAAAGGTGAGGACTTGGCAGCTGCGAGGAACTGGGAAAGAGGCTCAAAGAACTAAAGAGAACAAACCAAGCCTGTAGTTGTCTCCCAGCTCTGCCACTACTTAGGTCCTCAATCCTCTACTCTGTAAACAACCGACACAGAGGGTCACTAAGGTTCCCGTGGGCAGGACAAAGGTCTCCAAAATACAATCTCATTCCCAAGGGAATCCTGATCAGCAAACACTCAAGAACAGCTGGCAGGTGTGAACTGAGGCCTCTAATTAGCTACTTGCAAAGGGGCTATTTGTTGCCCCCCAGTCTCCAAGGGAGACCTTTGCCTCTGGTTTGGTTTTACTTGGCTAGGTGCTGTTTGAAGGGGTGGCATGCAGGAGGCGGTGTATTTTTGGTTGTTCTCTGCCTGTGCCCCTTTGCACGGGGAACACAGAGAGTGGATTTTGGTTTGCCTCAGAGGTCAGACCCACATGGCTTTGCTCAGCACTCTCAGGTGTTGAATGAGGCCTGGTTAGTGAACGAGGTCAGGGACATCTCCACCACCGTTAATCGTTCCTTTCAACCGGAGGTGGCGCAACTCAGATTCAAGGAGGGGCTTGTGCGTGGGACCAGCAGGGCTCCAAGAAAGTCACCTTGACCCCCATTTCTGAGCAGCTCAGTGGCCCCAGGCAGCCTCAGTGAGACCCAGATTCCAGGTTTCCACAGGTAATGCCACTGACCTGGGGTGTTCTGTGGGCAGTGCTACTTACAGGAACAAAAGCGCTTCACTCACTTCAAACAAGCACTCAGTCTTCTGAAGAAAGACGAGCAGTGCGGAGGATTTGGTTGACTGGTAAATGCATAGCCTGGAACAAGGCTTTACTTGTACAAATCTGATAGAAAAATACTGAAGAGTAAAACACATTAAAAACTTTATTGTAAGTATCAACATCTAAATTTGCATCAATTTGATACATCGTTGCTCATTTTGCAGAACATAACAGTTGCACATTGCAAGAGTCAACTTGCTTGGGGTCTTTTCATGCTCAGGGCGGTCCACCCCTGCCTTCCCTCTCCCCGACCTGCATCCCGTCCTCCACAGTCTGCCCTGCCTCCTGCCGCCACAGGTTCAAGACCTAAGCCCTGAGGAGAACCTGCTGCCAGAGGGGCTGACTGGCTACAAGCCGAGAGGGCCAGGCAGCTAGCCCTGCCACAGGGACGGGGCAGGCAAGGGATCGTTTCTCCTCTTCCCGGGCTGAGCCCGTGCCAGGCCAGCCACAGAGTGCCCAAGTCAGCCCATGTGGCTCCAGAGAGCCTGCTGTTCTTCTCCATCCCATTTCACCCGCAGTCTAGTGGCTAACTCTGGATATTCTGAGCAAAATTAACCCAAGTTTCATGGAGAACTCCAGAACCTTGAACCAGTGCATGGTTATCACCATTCTTTGTTACTAGATATAGGAGAAGGTACTGCGGAGTCTCCTGGCCTGGAACAGCTCGGGGGAGGATTCAGCTCCCCGTTTCTCCCTCACTCCCAAGAGATTTGAAAACAAGTTTGAGAGAAGAAACAGTAACTAAAAAAGTCCATGAAGAAGGATCTGACACGTCCTTTATGAAATAACATCACCCTCTCCCCATCACAACGCAGGAGATGACACGTTACAGTAAGAGGGTTACGGCAATTCCCCATCTGGAGTGCCATTTAACTGCCTGCAGAAATCTTCCATTTTAATGCATTTTAAACACATTCAAAACGAGTGATGACTCTCCAACCTAGGGAAAATGCCCAATAAAAAATATAGGTAGAAAATACATGCTAATGTAATGGCAAACTTATTTCCATACTATAATGGCAACAGTCTTGGGGTTGAAGGCAGGGGTGCGGTGGAACCTCCCTCTTCCCACAAGAACATCAGCACCAGAGATGCTCGGTCCCCGGGCTGATCTGATGGTGGGGACCACGCACTGTCACTCGGCGGCCGGTCCGGTCCCAGTGTTGGCCTGGGACCATCAGTGTTGCAGCAGGAAGTTGGTGGCGACATTGAGGTCATTGTTTGAAGCTCTCAGGGCTTCCAAAGCATCACCTCTGGAAAATCCCATCTCCATGAGCCGGGCGACCTGCAGGCAGAGAAAACCCAGAAACCTGAGGGCGCTGACGACACTGCTGCTTATCCCTGGGCCCCAAATGTTCCTCATGTGAGCCGTGTGGCAAAGGTCAAAACTCTTTACAAACAAACCATTTTCATTTCAATATGGAATCTGATATTTAAAAGTTACACCAGGTACAAATTTTTCAATGTTTACTAGGGGTAGCTGATACATATGCATTCTCGCATGTAACCCTCAGTCTACAGACGAAGACATAGGGTTCCTGAGGGTCAAGTGGCCTAGTGGGACCAGGCCTTGGGAGCAGGTCAGCATGAGCTGCCCGGGCTCACTGCCAGGCCACACACCTCAGCGTCAAATGTGATTCCCTATGACGGTGACACACGCTCAGCCCTGGCATCACACTCCTGGCGCCAATGCCACAGAACTGCCTGCCTTTGGGTGCTCGGACTACTTTTAACAGCTGTCCCGTTCGCAGCCTGGGGCTTACACAGGCAGCAAAGCGGGGCTGAGCCTGGGGCAGCAACCGAGGGAAGGAGGTAGCGAAAGCCACCAGAAGCAGGGAGAAGCAGGCGTGCAATTGTTTTTGACCACAAATCCTGATTCTGTGCATATGGAGATTTCCTGTACTTTTCTCTACAGGCAGTCTCCAGTATCGAAATCGGCAGTGTTACTAAAGCTTATTTGCAACCTTTTTTCCCAATTAAGAATGTATTACAAAAATATTCATGGCCCCAGATTGCCAAAGGAATACTTTTTTTGTACTTATATTAAAATAAACTGCACTTGCAATAACATCTTGTAAAAGTCAACAGTCTTGTACATGTTGAGTTTTTCAGTCACTTGCGCATTAAAGAGGCTTTTGTGGGTTCACCTGAGGACTTAGTCAGAGTTTCCAATTTTTTTTCCGAAAGAGAGCGAGCTACTTGGTGTTACATGGTGGAAAGAGAAGGGGCCCAGTATTGCCACCCCTCCCCCTGCTCAGGGGACTCGGGGTGTGTGAGTGGGAACTATGGCATGGGGTGGCTGGAGGAAGGGACGGGCATGTGGCCCCAGAAAGCCTGCTGTTCTTCCTTTCCATCCCATTTCACCCGCAGCTTAGTGGCTAACTCTGGATATTCTGAGCAAAATTAACCCAAGGACCCAGCAAGGTGAGGAAGAAGGTGCAGACAGGAGAGAGGCAGGTGGGGGAGGGAACCCCCCAGTGACCACGCAGGCCCAGACACCCAGACCCCTCCTCCCCCAAAAGCCTTAGAGAAGAGCTGAGGGCAAACAGGGACACGCAGTGGACACTGCTCAGAAGCTGGAGTCCAGCCAGGGCTTTTCCAAACGGGGGCTGCTGCCCATGTCATGGGACCATTCAGTGGGTGAGGACTAGGCTTACAAACGCACGCACTGAGTGTGCTGCTTCCTGGAACGCTGCTTTCAACCCTTAGCACAGGGACAGACGCACAGCCCTGGCTAGGAAGCTAAGAAGGGCTGCTAGGTGTCCTCTACATGCCTTGTGGTGGGGAGGGCTGTCCCGGGGCAGCAAGAGGCCCAGCACCTGGGACACTACGGTACCCTCAGGTGACTCACGCTCAGCTGCTCGGGGCTGGTGGGCAGCGCACAGCGAAGGCAGAAACCTTCTAGTTTGTTTTCCCGCCAGAGGAGAGAGTGGTATAGATAACAAAACAATAGATAACAAAACTAGAATTGAAAAGAATTGATTTTGGTTGGCTGGAAAATGATCAGATGGAATTTAACAGAGATATGTACAGTCCTAGACTTAAAAGGTCAGGTAGGATTTGAGAGACCTGACTCGAGAGCATTTTATGTGAAAATTCCTGAGGGTTTTCAGCAGGCCCAGCTTAACTGGCCACACCAGTGATGCAGCTCCTTACACAAGGGCGTGCATAGACACACACACACATGCACACTCCTAATGCATCATATGCACATCAGCTGTGGCTGAGTGCCCTGGCCTCGCTGCCAGGTGGCTGAGAATGCTGCCACCCTGGTGTTCTGCCTCTTACGAGCTGCCATTCGCACAACGCCACAGCTCTTGATTTTGCCCTTTGAAGTAACCGAGAACAACCCTATTCTCTTTTCCTACATAAAGCGCTTTGCGGGTATGACAGCCCTCTCCTTCCTCCCTCAACCACTGGCTTTTCTCGGCCCCCACCCTGGCCTGTGGGCACCGCGGCTTGTTCTGCCTGTTGCCGTCTCTGCCCTCTGCCCTGAGCCTGCTGACTCCTCTTCCCCTGGTGAGTCTTGGGGCCCCTGCCCTTTCCCATGTCTCCCAGACTAGAAGGCTCCCAGAGTGAAGTCCTCATGGCCCCACTGCCTTCTGTCCTGGGCTCCCTGCAGCTGTGTGTGTGGGGCGATAGCTTCTCCCCACCGCTGTGAACTCCCAGTATGAGGGCCATGGCTGCCTTTGCTCATTCCTGTGTTTCAGGATCCAGTTCCTTTCAGCCCAGTCCCCTCGCATTTGTGCACACCATCTCAGAACACCGTGCCCAGAACTGAGTGTGACACCATGGGTGTGGTCTCACCGGGGCAATGAGCAGTGAGGCTGCTGCCCTCTGACAGTCTGGGCCCTTAGCTTCAATGAGAGCAGAGGAATGCATGAGTAGTGTGCATGTATATGTGTGTCTGTGCACGCTCTTGTGTAAGGAGCTGTATCACTGGTGTGGCCAGTTAAGCTGGGCCTGCTGAAAGCACTCAGGAATTTTCACATAAAATGCTCTCAAGTCAGGTCTCTCAAATCCTACCTGACCTTTTAAGTCTAGGACTGTACATATCTCTGTTAAATTCCATCTGATCATTTTCCAGCCAACCAAAATCAATTCTTTTCAATTCTAGTTTTGTTATCTGCTGTTAATCATCTCCCTCAAACTTGCATCATGCCTAAATTTGATTAGTAAACCTCTACAACTTCGTTCAAGTTATTATTGATGAAAATGTCAAACAGGTCAGGTCAAAGAGTCCAGAACTCTGTGTTCAAGGGGTTAATGAACATTTTTAATCAGTTTCAAACCCACTTTATTGCACTATCATTATCCATTCTGCATGTCACCAACATCTCTCATAAGCTGACGAGATGTTGTCAAAGGTCTTGGTGACATCTTGCCAACGGCATTGGTTTGGTGTCCTAGGCCACAGCTGTCTTTTCAACGTTCACAAATCATCTATTTGATACTAATCTGTTCTGGCTTTTGCCAGACGTGAAACTTCAATTCTGCCATTCGGTTCTCAGAATTCACACTTTCCTTTTCCTTAGGAACATTTTCAAGCTAAGTGCTTTCTCAAGCCTCCATCAGGTTGCGCAGGGAGAGGGGCTGGAGGACTCAGGTTGGATATGTATCATGTGGAAGGAAAACTCTCTCTGATCAAGGTGGTCTTTCCAATCTCGGGTTGAAATAACCTGTATGATGTTTCCTCCAGTTACTTCCAGTTAAGGACCACCGTCAATGGTGGAGGTAACTCAGGCCAAATGGGAGGTGGCCTGCCTACCTTCCACCTGTTATCCACTACCATGATGCCATGGCCCCCAAACAACTTGGCCACTCATTTTTTTTTTTTTTTTTTGAGATGGAGTCTCGCTCTGTCGCCCAGCCTGGAGTGCAATGGCCGGATCTCAGCTCACTGCAAGCTCCACCTCCCGGGTTTACACCATTCTCCTGCCTCAGCCTCCCGAGTAGCTGGGACTACAGGCGCCCGCCACCTCGCCCGGCTAGTTTTTTGTATTTTTTAGTAGAGACGGGGTTTCACCGTGTTAGCCAGGATGGTCTTGATCTCCTGACCTCGTGATCCACCCGTCTCGGCCTCCCAAAGTGCTGGGATTACAGGCTTGATCCACCGCGCCCAGCCAACTTGGCCACTCTTAATGACATTTATTTAAATGGCTTGGAAAAGCTACTTTTACTACTACCTGTAGTACTTCAAGCACAGCTGAGGACTGGCCAGCAGAAACAAATCCATCTGCTGTCCACACTCAGCAATTTGGAGATTTGGCAAATCACTCCAGATTATGAATCTGGAGTGATGAAGTGTGACCTTAGGCCACAACTCCACCTGGCACTTGAGCTCTCCCTCCACTGATGATGCATTTGGTTTGGAATCCAGAGGATGCTGATAATGGGCAGGCTGCACACAGGCCACCAAGACAGGGCAGCAGCACGGACTGCAAGCAGGCCCTGCCCTGGAGAAGGAAGAAGCCCTCAGGTCTGGGATGGCTGGGCTGGGTTGTAAGTCATGTAGGTGACATTCTAGAGTAAGAACAAAAGTTTTCCATGTACACAAGACTTCCTTCTGAGTTTATTCTCTCTCAGACATGAACGTCATGTGCCGTGGTGCTGGTTTTGACAACTAAGACTGGCTTTTCACAGCTCTTGGCAGAAGAGAGTGTCTGCTGTCACAAGCTTGCGGCAGGTTTGCTCTTCATCCTCTGAGGGGTGGATCATGCTCCTTTAGCCAAAGCTGGCTTCAGAGCTTTATGCAATTTTTATGGGTGAGAAGACAAGTGTGATAGGAGAACTTTCATTGTCCACTGACCTGTATTGTCACCAGATTAAAAATAACTGCTAAGTAGCAATAATGTTAGCACAGTTCTTTAAAAAGAATAAACAATTGTGCTAAGAAATGGTACCTGAAAGTGTCCTGTAGTGTCCAAAACGAAACATTCATGGCAAACTGAAATTGCATGCTTCGGCTTGGGTATGCGATGACAACCAGCCAGCAAGGACAAGGGTCAGGGGATAGGTGTTCCGATGGGTGCTTACCCAATACTCCCCAGTGGAGGGGTGCGGTGCAGTGCTCACAGCCCTGGAAGTTAGCCAAGTGGCCCCTGCTGTCCTTTCTCTATGTAGTTTCAGTGGTTCACAATACAGACAGTAAGAACTGGAGCAAAACTAGCAACACAAGAACAGTTGTCTACAGGCCTCTTTGGCGGACACTAACTATTACTGCTGTGGCTCTTACTACTCATCTGCCTGGAGAAGCCCAGCACAACCAATCCCCGCCCATCTCAT